AAGAGGTGGCAAGAATACACAGAAGAACTGTACAAAAAGATCTTCATGACCCAGATAATCACGATAGTGTGATCACTCACCTAGAGCCAGACATCCTGGAATGTGAAGTCAAGCGGGCCTTAGGAAGCATCACTATGAACAAAGCTAGTGGAGGTGGTGGAATTCCAGTTGAGCTATTTCAAGCCCTAAAAGATGATGCTGGGAAAGTGCTGCACTCAATATGACAGCAAATTTGGAAAATTCAGCAGTGGCCACAGGACTGGAAAAGGTCAGTTTTCATTCCAATCCTGAAGGTGGTGTGCCAAGAAATGTTACAACCTTTAGAGGAACCTGTATTTTGTGGATCCTCATCGCAGCTATTAGTTTCCTGTCCAGCAAAACAAGTCCCATCTTGAAAACACAGCAACAACAAAACCGCCCCCCAGTCTCCGGATCACCATTCTTGGTGTAATTAGCTCTGGTTCTGGCACTTGAGGTCCTGCTTTCCTGGGTGCTCAGCTGGCTCTTCAGTGTGTGTGTTGGGTTTTTACCTAACACTTCTAGGGAGTTTGAGTTGGTCAGAGGGGTTTCTAGTTTTGATTCTGCTTTGATATCTATTATTTTCTGCATGAAGTTGTTGGACTGGTAAGGAGGGCTTTTCCCTGTGTCTTTCTGACGCTCAGATAGATGCAGCCAGCCTTCTGTAAAGTCAAGGAGGGCTGTGCCGCCGGGTGTGCATACCTGCGTGCTGAGTCACGATGCAGCAGACTTGTTTTTTTACCATGAGTTGCTCCCCAGTTTGGAAAAGTGGAAACACAATACAGCTGTGCGCCTGGTGTTGAGAGACAGTGTGTTCCGGTTGGGGCCATATTTATATCCAACCTCAGCAGAGTGGTCTCAGGGAGATTATGGTCTCGTAAATTTGTTTACAGTCAGAATGTTTCTTCTCAAAGCCTGGTCTTAGAATTTGGGGGAAGGCTACTGAAAGCCTGGCTCCAGTTCAGGGCTCAGTTGCCAGACAGAAAACCTTGATGTATTGGCTGAAATAATTTTGTATGCTTGTGTGGTGTAGGTCTGTTTCATGTCAGTTGTTGGTCATTGGTTTAATGAGGTGACTTAGCCAGTCAGATTAACGACGAACTTTGCTGGACTTCACATCTTGAGAAGCGGCAGGTGTGTCAGTCGTGATTGGCATGTGACTCGAGGCCCCATCCTCGTAGAGGAGGTGAATGCGGGGGTTCCTGACCCGTGAGTCCGTGCAGGCCCGCTCCGAGGCTGCCGTCTCCCTGCACTGCTGGTAGGATGATGCTGGAGGCCCGGGAGGCAGTCACAGGAGCAGCCCCGAGTAAGAGCCCCAAGTCAGGTGGGGCAGCCTGCCGTGGAGGGTGTCTGCGGTTCCCTGTGGCGTCCCCAGGCTGGGGACAGGGTGTTGGTCAGGTGGCTGCAGTCTTGCCCAGCGCCTGGCATAGGGCGTGAGGAGGGGACGACGCTCCAGTCGGTCTGGACCAGGGGCCTGGCAGCTGGTGGGCAGCGGGCCCCAAGGCTGCTGCAGAGTCACCTGTCAGTTTTATTTAGTTGAGGCTATTATTAGCCTATTTCAAAGCGTTTTTTCCTACATCAGGAAGGGTCTTAGGGTGTGAGACTTGGAAGCGGCTCCCAGATGAGACTCTGGCTTGACAGGCTGGTGGTTAGTGCCCAGGCGAGGTGACATCTTCCACCTCCTGCTCCGTCCCCCCACCCCATACCCCTGCTACCAGCCCAGCCTGGACCGTCTTCGTCACTGACCGTGGATTTCTGATTGCAGGACTCGTTCCAGCAGCCTGTTAAAACATGGTGGATTACTATGAAGTTCTAGGCGTGCAGAGACACGCCTCGGCCGAGGATATTAAAAAGGCGTAAGTAATCATGTTCTGAAAGAGCGCCTCTGCGCACCTGTGGTGTGACTTTTCACGGCCTGTGGAAACCAAATGATAGTTTGCATGCTGAGAGTTTCTGCTGCGGTCTAGTTTGAATGTTAGATAGCAGTTAACAAGTTAGCTTGTGCCTCTTTAGACCTAGGCCCACCTGTCATTAGGGGAGAAGGCCACTTGGTTTCCTCTGGTACTGTATCTTGGGACATGGACTCCATTTCTGCTGGAATTAGATCAGAAACGCACTGAGGGTATGAGATCAGCCCAAAGAACTTCGATGTTGGACTTAGAAACTGCCTTGGCGCTCATGGGGCACCGCCGTGACATCCTCGTGGGCTTGCTTCCAGCCCCTGCCGTGTGACCGGTTCCGGTCCGTGTGGCGTTTGAGCCCTGCACCCCTGTGTCCTTGCTGCAGCTTTGTGACCAGGGCCTGGCCCCAGGGACGCACCTGAGGCAAGTCTGAGGTCACAGGCAGCTCTCAGGGTAAAGTGGGATCTATTTGATTCCCTTGGTATTAATGTATAGCAGAAAATGGATGGTGTTTCAGCTGTGTCACAGTGGGCTGTGGGATTTCTCAGGCTGTGCATGGTCACACCCAGGAACGCCGTGGTGTAGCACTCTTCTTAAATAAGGTGTGAGTGGCATGGAGATCACCGCCCAGAGGGGTGGGCCTGTGGGGGGGCGTCACTGCTGCTGCCCCTGGGGGAAGGGCAGGGTGTGTGCCACGTCTGGTCTCCGATAAGAGCTTTTGCTTTGAAAATGTTTGCTTCATGTGACATATTAGACACCACCCTGGATGTTGGATGTGATCGGTACCCTTAACTCCTTTTTAAGATATCGAAAACTGGCACTGAAGTGGCATCCAGATAAAAATCCTGAGAACAAAGAAGAAGCGGAGAGAAAATTCAAGCAAGTAGCTGAGGCGTATGAGGTGTTGTCAGACGGTGAGTGGGGAGTGTGGGGGCTGCACCCCCCGGGCGGGGCCTGCAGAGGGAGACATGGCTGAGGGGGTTTGGGGCCCTGAGGGGGGTTTTCTGGGCAGACTGGGCGTCCTGTTCCTGCCAGCCTCTCGATAAGGCCCTGTGTGTGCTGCGGGCGCCCTGGCCTCTAGGAGTCTCCTGGGTGGTTCTGTGAGAGGACAGGCAGACCCGGACGCTGCCTGGCGCTGGAGGCCTCCTGGGTTGGGGTGTCGTGGCCTCTCGCCCCCGTCCCCTCCTGAGCACCCGGTGCTGAGGTGCTGACCTCCTCCTTGGAAGGCCCTCCTGATTTTGGGAAGTCAGGTGTTGTGCACACAGCTGAGGTTTGGACTCCACAGCTTATAGGTTTCCCTGCCTCGTTGGAGTTAGGAATTGAAGGGCACTGGAAGCTCAGGTCTGTTGGTTTAGTTTCAGGGGTCGTACAGAGAGTGTTAGCCAGACCTTGGGTTCTCAGTAAGAACAGCCTTGGGGCAGGGAGCAGATTGTGGAACTTTGTAAGAAAACTGGAAAAGTACTGACACCACCTTGGCAAGAAGCAGTTCTGAATGACCTGGTGTGAATCAAGGCCAAGGCATTTAAAAGGCTAGAGGTGGGTTCACTGACCAGAGGAAGTGGACACCTGCTTTATTTTAAAAGAAGGCTTAGTCATCTTACTTCATGAGTATCTTTTGTCGTTGACTGTCATTGTCCTGTTTGTGTGCCTGATCCAGCACTCCCAGATTTGTGGATTCACAGACCAAGAACATTAGAGAATTTGAGAAGTAAATTTAAACGTCAAACGTGATTTTTGGCAGCAGCAGAACCTTTAAACTCCCATGAAAATGCTGCTTTTTGTGTGTTTTTGTAAGGGGGAGTATATTCTTCATGCGTCCTTAGGAAGAAGCCTTCAGTTCCAGGAGTCACCGCACAGACCCACAGGCGCTGTTCTTATGGCTCTGATGACCACACTCGTTTCCCCATTACCCCGTTACTTGCCACACACAGGTGTGTCTGCAGAAGCTGTGTGTCTGAGCAGGACTGCACTGTGACTGCTCCTATTCTAGAGCCTGAGTGGTGAGACGGCCGTAGTCCGGGCTTGGGCGGGCTGCTGCCTCACCCAGGGTCAAGCCAGGCTGCGGGCCGGCTCCCAGTGTGGCTCCTTTCTGCTCTCACCAAGGCTCTGTCCCGTTCCTGGTCGTGCCATGGGTTGGACTTTGTGCCCCAAGTTGGACTTTGTAGTGAGGTCTGTGTATAGGGGTGGAGTCGCTTTGCATCTTTGTAGTGGGGTTTTGATGGAGTGCATGGGCACACGTTGAGCAGTAGAGTGAAATTAAGTTTTTTTTTTTTTTAATAAGTTTTAAATTTAACTTAAAAATATTCTGAGGTGTTTTTAAGGGAGTTGTTGTTGGTCAGTCCCTAAGTTGCAGCCGACTCTTTGCCACCCCGGGGACTGCAGCCCGCCAGACTTTGATGGTCTTAAGTGTCCCTGCTTCCTATTTTCATTTACAGTAAGGGAGTCCTAGCTCTTCAAAAGGAAGTGTGGTCATTGAGAGCTGTGGTGGGTCTTTGGTTTACAGCTTCAGGAACGTTTTATTGGATTTGAGGGAAGAGAACTTGGTTGTTACTGACTTGTCTTTTTAAATTTATAGCTAAAAAACGGGACATCTATGACAGATACGGCAAAGAAGGATTAAACGGTGGCGGTGGAGGTACGTGGTCGACACTGGTCTTTTCCTGCCTTGTGATGAAAGGAGGTGGTCTGATGACACAGTCTCATGGGAACTCAGTCTGTCAGTAAACACGGATGCAGTTTGGAGAGTAGGCTGAACTGGGGAGAGGAAGGAGAAATTGATAGCCTGGTAAAGGCCTGTTAAAAATCTTGTTGTACTAGAAAGTACATACTGGTGTACGTTTTGTAGATAGGAAATAATGTAAAAGCTTACTATAACACTGTGAGTTTGTACCCTCACTGTGAGTTTTGTTGTGTCAAAAACATCCTTACTGGATGTTCTATCAAAAAACTAAATAACCACCAAAGTAACTACCGCTGGTGGTGAGGCTTAGATGCGTGTGTTTTTGATGAAAAGTTACGCAGTAACCTGTTGTCCTGTGAGCTCCACTGGGGGCGTTGGGACACGCACGCTTCAGACCTCCTGTACACATGCCTGAGCACCTGTTCCTGAGCCTGAAATGCTGTGTGTTGGTGACACATCCAGAGTCGGTGGGAGTCCTTGGCACTTGTGTGGCTCGGGGATGTTGACCTGCATGCGCTTCCCAGCTCCCGGTGCAGGAGGCTTTGCTTTCAACAGGACTTGAGTGAGCTTCGGGTTTATGAAACTTTTCTCCTTCTTTGGGTCAGGAGGCATGTAGTAATGTTTTGTAGACAGTGGTTATGTGCCTGCTGCGTGGGAGTCCCTGACTGAGCTGTGATTGCTTCTGTAGGTGGAAGTCACTTCGACGGTCCGTTTGAGTTTGGCTTCACATTCCGAAACCCAGAGGACGTCTTCAGGGAATTTTTTGGTGGAAGGGACCCATTTTCATTCGACTTCTTCGGTAAGTTCATCATCTGGGTCGTCGTTTACGTAACATGTTCATGACTCACGAAGACGGACATACGCTTTCCGTTTCACCACTGTTGTAGCTTGTCCTTAAACTTGCTATCTGAGCAGTACATGAGTTTAACTAAATCCTTTTCCCTTCTTCCTTTGGAAGATGTTTCGGAATTTATACCTTGCACGTTAACATACTAAGGGTTTGAATGTGGAATTTACACCTTGCACACAAGCATAATAAAGGTTTGAATGAGTTATGTCCCTGGCTGTGTGTTTCACTCAGCAGCTTCCTCTGCAGTGGGAAGGAGGTGGGTTGCTCTTGGTTGGACAGGGAATTCTCTGAATTTCCCATGTAGGAGTCCGAATGATAGAAAACACTAAGCATCAAGTAAGATGTTGCTCGGAAGACGTTTGATCCATAAACTTGTCTTTGTTTTTCTGATTGTGGTGTTAGGACTGTTGAGTTTGCAGTTCTTGGAAAGAAAGGACACCTCTAGAGCAAGGCACCATGAGTATTCGTCTTTGAGAATAGCTTTGCCGGGAGACCTTGCTGCTCTGGCTGCTCGTTGCTGTAGGAGAGGGCTCCCAGCCGCCGGCCTCCGCGTCCTGGCGCCCGACGCGAGGTGCCGTGGCAGGGACGCGTGGCAGGCTCTGGGGTTGGCAGTGGTGTGGAGCTGGGCCGCTCGCCGTGCACACCGCGACGTCTGTTGTCTCTGGCCCCTGGATGGGGAGACAGTGCTCTGTGTCTGCTCCTTCACTGCCTGGAGCCTGGTTGAAAAGACAAAGATGCCTGGAGGGCAACAGGAAGAGCAGTTGTGTCTGCAGGTCACAGGGGAGCCGTGGACCTGCACGTCGCGGGCGTGGCGAGGAGTCAGGCCCTGCCGTGTCCGGTAGGTGTGGGCCCGTCACAGGATGCAGTCCTTCGTCACTCCATGTGGGGGTTGCCAGCTCTGGCACAGGGTGGTTTTCTTTAAAAAGAGGGTCAGGACAGGGTCCTCAGTGTGTAATGGTAGCCAAACTGTGTTTTTCTTGGGGAAGAAAATCTGACAGGTTAAGCTTTCTCACTAAGAATGGTTTTCCTTGAGCAGCTCTTTCTGGAGTGAAGAGAGGTAGAGAGGGTAATTGGGGGTGGAAGAGGGAGTAATGCGGTTTTACCCTTGTGAGCACTGACCTTCACGTCTTCTGAGGTGAGGTTTGTGCACTCGAGGGAATCTTGATGTGCATGTGAACTTGAGTCAGAAGAGTTAATGGTTTGCAGGACGCTGGGTGGAGTTTTCTTCTCCTGGGTTCAGAGTCCGTTGGGGGACGAGCCCCTCAGCCTCTGCCTGGGACTCGGAGTCGCGCTCGGTCTACGCTAGCAGTTTCCGGTTTCTCGTGGTCCCTGTGGCAGTGATACTTCTCCAATCCATTCTTGTAGGTGTTCTAGGTGACTTCCATTTTCAGGCTCTCAGGATTTGCACGCGGGAAGAGAAGCTGCTCCACGGCTACTACATGTATGAAGTGACAGTGCAGCCCGCAGGCGGTACGTTCAGAGCAGGGCTCAGCGGCCGTGGGGCCGAGGGCGCTCTGCTTCAGCAGGCTCGGGGTTGATGTTTCTCGGCAGCCACTTCAGCCCTGTTACAGGGTACATTTAGAGGAGTGTGTTCTTTTTTGTCTTAATTTTCCACACGACCAACTTTTTTCCTCTCCCCTTTTCCAAAAAAAGAGTAGCTCAAAGTCTGTTAAAAGACATTCTGAGCTTCAGTTTGCATTTATCAGAATGTAAAACCCCATGTCTGATTTCAGACGGCCCAGATGAAAGGGGAGGGACCTTGAAGAAGCTGGTGGGAAGGACTGAGTCCTATGCCCGAGGACCGCGTTCGTTGTGAGGCATGCTCCCTGTGGGCAGAGGCTGTGGGCCCAGGAGTGGGGGAGAAGCCAATTTTGAGACAAGAGGGGCCGGCGGGGCTGTCCAGGTTAGCTGACTTCCCCACAGCCCTCGGAGTTTCCTTTGGAAACACTCAAGTGTAGGGATCGTGTTACTTTAAATTGCGGTGATCCCTCCCTTGGCTTGTCATTGAAGGATGGTGCTAGTGAGATGGTGTTCTCAGATGGGAGAGCCACTGAGCCCTAGAGTCCTAGCAGGAGCCACCGTGTGGGAGGCATTTTTGTGACCCAGCTCTGAAGCTGGGAGCTTCCCCGGGAGCGTGTTCACGTTGGCCGGTGCTGGGGTGATGGGAGAGGAAGGGACGAGCCAGGCAGGCCTGCCCGGCGCCGCGCTGGAGGGTAGTGAGCCGGTCGTTCTCCCCCCAGGGTTCGAGGAGGTGGCCAGCGAGGAGTTGGAGCCTGAAGAGGAGGCGGTGGCGGAGAGCACGAGCGAGGAGGACAGTGAGGTGCTGGACGTGGTGTCCAGCGAGGAGCTCGACCTCTTTAGTGATGACGATCCCAGCGAGGGCGCTAGCCTGGGCAGGGGCGAGCTCCCCAGTGAGGACTTGGAGTTCATCTCCAGTGAGGACGAGGCCAGCCCGGGGGACCCAGAGGAGCTCATTGAGGAGTGTGAGGAGCTGCTGAGTGAGGACAGTGAGCCTGAGGCCCCGCGGGCGGCCCCCTGAGCAGAGCCTCTAGAATAAAGAGTTTGCACGACTCGCGCCTGAAGGCTCGCTGCGGCCCCGGAGGGGACTGGGGGCTTGGGAAGGGCAGCGCCGTACACGGCAGCCGCAGACCCGAGGCTGACCATCTGAGTGGGTGCCTGGGCCTGGGCCCCTCCCCCGGCACTCGCCCGCTGCTCTGGCCGCCTCGGACGGCCTTTGTCTTCACACGGTGTCTCCTCTGCACGTCCGCGTGTGCCCTCTTACGTGGACAGGAGTGACGGGACGGAGCCGCCTGCCTGTCTGCAGTGGCCCTGCCTCCCCCCCAGGGTCAGGGTCGCAGGCCGTTGTTGGGGGCCCCGTGCATCCTGTGGCGTGTAGACAGTCGTCTGCTCAGCTTGGAGGCAGCGTGGCTTGGAAGAAGGCACTGGTGAAGCTGGGCTGTGGCTGTGGAGGCAGGGCAGGTGTGGTGGCCCCTCCCGGGGGGCAGGCCCCTGTGGCTCAGCCACTGTGAAGGCCCTGCTGAGCCCCTGTCCTCCTTGGGGGAGGGGTGCTGGGTTGGCCCGGCCCATCAGTGGCTGGGACCTCCTCCTGTTAAGGGTGGAGCTGGCGTTTCAGGACAGTTCCCTGTGGGTGGGTGCTGGGCAGATGGGCCTTGTGGTCCTACCACCTCCGCCCTCGACAGGGAGAGGAAAAAGGCTTCTTGAGAAGGTCACTCTCAGAGTTGTTTTCTGGGTCACGAGAGCAGTGGCCGGGCCCCAGGCTTTGTGTGATCTCCCTGGGAATCCAGAGTTGGTTTTGAGACTTTAATGGCCTTCCCAGCTCCCCCATGGCGGAGCTTTCCGAGTCCATGCAGGAGTCCAGGCTGGACTCCTTCCTCCTGGTGCGGTGGTCCCTGTGGCTGAGGGCTGTGGGCTGTCCTGGCCGCAGGTCAGGGGGAGGGCGGCTCCCTCACAGCTCCTTGGCAAGGGGTAGAGTTGCAGGGACCCCAGCCTCCGTCGCGACTGAAGTAGGGGGTTTGGATCCCTTGTGTGTGCTTGGCATCCTTGACTTAGATAGATTTTTGTAACTTAGAAAATAACAGTGTTCCAATTAGGCCTGTGGTGTGACTGGAAATGGCATTTTGTAATGAAGCTGTGTGCACAGTTGAAAGTATGATGCTCCTTTGGCAAGTATTCATCCCAGGGTTGCCGTTCAGTGCCAGGCACCACCCAGATGCTGGGTCAGCCCTGCAGAGGTGCCTCAAAGCCTTCCTCCCCCGGGTTCTAGCCTGTGTCACCCACGGCTGTTTCTGAGTCACTTAGGTTTGTTTATTTCACATTCTTTTCAAATATGTTGTTTTCTGCTTCTGAACATGTGAGAAGAAAATGTTATAAACTTAAGAGTTGTTGTGAAGGAGTGTTTTGATTTTAGCTTGTGGCGTTGGGGTTAATGACGGTGGGGTGATCGCATTGGAGTCTTGTCTGCTGTCTTGGCTTTTGAGTTTTGAGTTTCATGTGTCGCTCTTTCCTCAGGGTTGCTGTGGCTTGGCGTTGAGACTGTAGTGGAGTGGCCTGTTTTCTTTGTTTGAAGTGTTCAGGATGCTTGTTAAGAGTTTGTGGTGTTTTCCTTTGTTGTGCAGTTGTGTGTGTGTGTGTGTGTGTGTGTGTGTATGGCCTGGGGACTGGGTGGTGAGCTCCGTGAAAACACTGCGGGCTCAGTTTGCTGAGCGCCTCAGTCAGGCCCTTAGCTCTGCTCCTGGGGGCATGTATGGCTCTAAATACCCTTCACTTAGTTCTTCCCTTAAGCCTTCTTACACGTATGTACTCGTGTAAACATTTGTGACATGTTTTCTGTTGTTTTTTCACAGCATTCAGTTAATGTATTTTTTGTCGTAAGTTTGACATCATTACTTAGGTATTTTGCAAGCATCACCTTAGTGGACTTGGCTTGGTATTTCTGAGAAGAGCAGGACCGTGTAGGATTGCAGAGGAGTGTTTATCCAGGACACCTGGAACAGGGAGCCGGAAGAGTTAAGTCTTCATTAACTTAACAGGCTGGACACGGGCCTGTTTCCGTGTGTCTGTATCCCATGATGCAGCGTTGTTGCGGGAAAGGACCTGGCTGAACACACATGTGCCGTGACCGGGGAGGTGTTGGCTGACAGACTGGTAAATCCTGTGTTTAGGTTCTCCCGAGAGACAGACCAGCAGCGTGTGCCCCTCTCTCTCTGTCAGAAGTTTAGCATAATCATGAACTTGTTTGATTATGAGAACACACACCTTCCAGATCTGCGGGCCGATGTCCCAGTTTGACTCCGAAGGCCATCAGGCTGAAGAACCAGCAGTGTTCCAGGTCAGAGGCCGTCGAACGGGAGAAGGCTCTTGTGTTTGTGGGAAGCATCGGCCTTGTGGTCTCTTCAGCCCACGTGCAATGGGAGGGGCCCATCCCCTGGGAGGCCAGTCTTCTCCATGAGGCCATCTGATCCACAAGTTCCTCTCATCCGAGAACACCCTCGAGGCGGCTCCTTCACGTGGACACAGAATTTGTCCACTCCTTGACATCCACACGTGCTATCTCCTTCAACCGTAATTCATCTCCAGCAAACCATAGCAAGGTCGTAACTGAGCCGAACTTGATAAGGAACGTGCGTGTCGTTGAGAACACGTTGACCTCCCAAGTAGGAGGTGAGGTCCGGGTGCCGACCTCTCCTGGAGGGGCCTCTGCTGAAATGCTGACCCAGAGATGTGTCTGCTGTGCTATGGCAGGGTATAGAGAGGCAGGAAGACACAGCTGTGTGCAGTGGTGTGAACACGTGCACAGCGGGCTCAGAACGCAGCGGCAGGCTGTAGCTCCGGGCAGCTGGGGCCTGCTCCGGACAGGACCTGTGCCTCTGCCCCCGCCGCATCCCCGTGCCCTCGCCCTCAGCAGCACCTCCGCCTCGGCTGGCGGGGTGGTTCTGGGCGCTTGGTGGAGTGACATCAAACACATCCTTGGCAATATGTTCGGTTACGTTATGTCTGATTCAAATTTATTTACAAGTTAAATGCAGTTTTTACTCCTTTTAACCTCAAAGATAATAACCATACAGACTGAACATAAGAATTTGGAAAACATAAATGAGATAAAAGGACAGAGCGGGGAACCAGCCTTTGTCTTGTCACCAGTTGCAAGCCCACTGAACGTTTTTCAGATGTTAGAGTTGTGATGTATACTGTTTCTAAAGCTTAAACTTGATGACCCTTTAAAAACCTTCATTTAACATGCTCTCCATTTGTATATTGAAAAATTACGTAATTAGGTAATTTTTAGTTTTCACTATAAATGCCTGGGGGTCCTTTAGTAAGTTGTTTCCATGTTTGATGAGTTGATGTCCCTGAAGTAGATTGAATTGCTGGATGAGAAGGTTTTTAACTATTTTATTTAGCTTGGAGGCTGAAGGTTGTGAAAGCTTATGACATGCTGAGTCACGTCTGATTCTTCTGTGACCCCATGAACTGTAGTCCGCCAGGCTCCTCTGTCCACGGGAATTCCCATGGCCAGGAATACCGGAGTGGGTTTCCATTTTCTCCAGGGGATCTTCCTGACCCAGGGATGAAACCCATGTCTCCTGCATTGGCAGGCAGGTTCTTTACCACTGAGCCGCCTGGGAAGCTCAGAAGCTCAGTGCCACCTCTTCTCCACATCCGCAGCAGCCTGTGATGGGAGATCGGAGTGCTGGTCTCAGAGTGGCTCCTGTTAACACATCACCATAATCATGACTTTTTATTTGTTGTTTAGTGTCAGCATGACTTACAGATGAGACTTTTCATTTTTAGGTTTAACTGTTGTGACTTTACTGTCTGAAATTAAATGTTAAAATTCGGTGGCTACTGGAATTGTAAAAAATCCGTATTTAGGCTGTATAATAGAAAACGTGCAAGGTAAAAAAGACTTCAAAAATGCAAGAATACAAAAAAATAAAACTGAACTGGCCTTACTCTTATAACATTACTCAACCATCTTATGAAGTAACTTGTGAACTAGGTGGTTTTATAATTATGAAAGTTCATTTAGCTTCATGTAAACAAACCCATTTAATGGTGGTATCAAATGAACACTGGTTTAAGTTGGTCCCAGGAGTTTTGTGAAGAGTCTTTGAAGATTTCAGTTGCTGTGTGAACCTTAAATTATAAGTAAACAAATTCTTAGAGCAGTAATAAGAGGAACGTTGCAGGCGGACACGACTGTGTTTATAAAGTGAACTTGGGAGCCTGCGGAAGACCGTGGTGTAGGAGCTTGCTTGAGGGCAGTGGGCATCTGAAGCTGCTCCTGTTGGTTCTTGATGTCTGCTTCCTGAGGAGGTGATCACACGGAGTTTAAACTGCACTCTGTGCCTTGACCTGGGCAGTTGTAACATGAGTGATGACCTGCTGTCCTGAGATTGGATGAGTGGAAAGCAGTGTCACTGTGTAGACCCCTGACAAGGATAAGGTGAAAGGTAACGCTTGGGTTTTGTTTGAACAGGATGAAGTCTAGAGATTTATAAAATGTTTTAACTCAAGTTTATGATTAAACTTTGTGGTACTTCTAAATGTGGTAAGGGACTGTCAGCCCTGCTCACAAAGTAGCTGACGTGAGTGACTTTCTTTACGTTCTGTCTCACACGGTGGCACGCACTGTGGGGTGCGGGATCTGGGTTCAGAGGCAGCGACCTCTGGGCTCCATCCTGCTGACAGCAGCGCTTCCCTCCCAGCGCTGCCTGGGACCCCGGCTCCCCATGGGGCTGGTGGAGCAGTGTCTGCGCTGGGCTTGTTGTTCTTCGCTCCGCCACCTCTCCTGCCTTCCTTCTAGATCTCTGAAGAAGCCACCAGTGACCATGCTTTCTAAATACCTGCTTCTCCAGGCCTGCTTTCCTGTGTTTTTAAAGGCTCTCTTAAGAAAGGCTCGTAGTTTTTCCACCTGCTTCCCCGTCCCCCCTCGGAGCGCTTCTCAAGCCCCAGTCTGCCTCCAGTCACTGCCGGTTCCCTGGGGGTTCTTGCCTCACGTCTGTCTGTAAGCACTGGCGCACCATGAGCCTCAGTTTCTGCTTGGTTTTGTGCTCACCAGCTTGGTCAGTTTACTTCTGCTCCTTTCACTGCTCAAACGTGCTACTCTCCTGCTTGGGTCACGCGTGCCTTGGTTTAGAAGCATGCCACGCTGCTTATCTTGTCTCTGTGTTGTGGGTGCTTTTCTCTCATCATTCGTCAGGAGTCCTTGCTTTTATTTCTCAGAGAATTCCCATTTCCTAGAAAAAATGCAGCACTGATTGATTTCATAGTGAATTTAATAGTGAACCTCAGTGAGTTTTTTTAAGTCTGTATAATTCATGTTTCCAGTAAGTGCTCATTGATTGATAACAACAACCAAAAAGAGCTCTGTGTGAAGAGGTCTGTTCACAGCCCTCTGCCCAGGTCTGCGGTGCGTATTGATGACCTTGAGCTTTATGTTGGGACCCGTTGTGTTCTGTTTTTAGATGAGTCTCAGAAGCCGCAGAAAGCCGCAGGTTAGACGGACTGGTGCTCTGAAGGTGAGCTGCACTGTGGAGAAGCTTGGCTCCTGCTGGAACAGTGTCAGGAGACATCGCCCACATGCCCTTTGCAGCTCTCCTGTGAAGAAGCACCCTGGGGTCCAGGTTTCACTAAGCACTTCTGTTTCTTTTTAGAAGACCCGTTTGAGGACTTCTTTGGGAGTCGAAGGGGCCCCCGTGGAAGCCGGAGCCGAGGCACGGGCCCGTTCTTCTCTGCTTTCGGCGGATTCCCCTCCTTTGGAGGGGCATTTCCTTCCTTTGATACAGGTACTGCACCCTCAGACTTTCCCTGGTGTCCGAGCAGACGCCGGCGCAGGCTGCTTTAATGTAGGGCACTTTGCATTGTGCACATGCCTCTTGTGGAACAGCTTAGATTCACCATTGTTTGTGTGTATACAAATCTTTGCTTAGTAACCCACGTATTCCCCCCTAATTTTCCCAAGAATGTTATACTTGAGAGCCTGCTTCTAATCTTAACTACTAAAGGCCAGTATTTAATGAAATTCTTGGTTAAAAGTCTTGAGGTTTTGGGATAAATAACTGAAATAACTCAGATAATCTCATTAAATCCTTTTTAATCTAACCTCCTTGGCAGTTTTAAAAAAAAAACCAAAAGAAGTGTCCTAGGGGAGTCCAAGTTGATGGGATCAGGAGCTGAGGCTGTGGTAGGGCCTGCGTGTATCGCGAGCCATGCGGAGTCTACTGGTGAGGTTTGGTGACTGGCGACTGGACGCCATGCGTCAGCTGAAGTCGGGCACGCGGCCACGTGAAGAGTTAGCATCTCCGCTCTGCCCTGATGCCTGCCCAGTTCTTCTGTCTGTTCTGGGCCGCCCTTGTGTGGGTGTCACATGGTCTGTGGGCAGCACAGGGATGCAGCTCCCAGACTCTGCCCCTCTGAAGCCAGGGGCTGCGTCACCCAGGGCAGCTGCAGCGTGCTTTCCCCCGGCAGGTCCTCTCCTCAGATACCGTGTAGCATGCCGGAACTTAAGGGAGGGTCAAAGAGAAAGCTGGGCAAACCTGTCAAACACACTTCACTTCAGCAGTGTGTGTGGCACGCAGTCCCCCCCTTAGGGAGCCATGGGAAGGGCTGTGGGGAGGCTGTGTTTCTGCTGTGAGGGCGCATTCAGGGTGGGCCAGGCAGCGGGCTCTCCAGTAGGCAGAGCGGCCTCAGCCCCAGCCCAGAGTGGGCGTGCTGTCGTGACTTCTGAAAGTCAGGGTTTCGTGTGCCAGTTGAGCACCTCATAGCCGAGAATTAGTCCATGAACTCCAGACCCATACTCCTCCTGATAACTGTTGTGGTATTCTTGCTAAAATTATTTCAGATTCTTGGTAATTCAGGTTTGTATCCCCTGTGGTCACAGTTACAAGGAGCCATTAGAAGTTTGTTGGGTGTGCCAGTCTGTGGCGGGGTTTACTCCATCCTGGGAGACGCGTGGGGGGCACGGTGCCGGCCTGTCGGTAGGGGAGGTGCCTGGGCCGCCCCGCAGTCTGTGCAGGGCCTGGCTCCACAGGGGCGCGTCTGCATTCCCGGGCTGGCTGCGCGTGCTGTGTGCGTCCCTGACCCCTCTGCTGTCTCCTTACAGGATTCAGTTCCTTCGGCTCGCTAGGCCACGGGGGCCTCACGGCGTTTTCCTCCTCCTCGGCCTTCGGCGGGAGCGGGATGGGCAACTACAAGTCCATATCGACGTCGACAAAGGTGGTGAACGGCAGGAAGATCACCACCAAGAGGTGCGGGCCTGGTGTCTATTCTCAGGTTTAGGCATGGGGGGGGCGTCACCAGTGTCACCCCCGGGAAGGGCAGGGTGTCTGGGACGGCTGCCCAGTCTCCGATCAGAGCTTTGCCTTTGAAGTGTTGGCTTCACGTGACACGTTGGACACCATCCCGTGTAGTGTGCAGTGATGCGTTGGGATGGAGACACATCCGTTGTGGCACCTTGACCGTCTTGACGGCTGGTGCCCATTGGTTCATGTCAGAGCCATCCACTTTAAGAAGTGTCCGTGCTCGGGATGTTGGCTTCAGCTCCAGGGTTAGTGACTGCGGGTGTGCCCGTGGCAAGTCCTAAAGATAAGCGCTCAGGTTCACATACATGGCTGCTTATTCGGTACTGCGATTTTAAGATGCGTTTTACCCCCTTGCCTCCCCTCCCGCAGGATTGTCGAGAATGGTCAAGAGAGGGTGGAAGTTGAAGAAGACGGCCAGTTAAAGTCCTTGACGATAAATGGTAAGGAGCAGCTGCTGCGCTTGGATAACAAGTAGCTGACCGCACGCGCGTAGCAGAACCCTAACTCTGGCACGCGCCATGCGAGGATTAACAGGAACATTTTTTTGAAGATTTCAAACGAACTCGACTTTCAGTATAACTGTACCTAATCTAAAGTATTTATACACAGCTCGTCGGAGCCCTGTTTGTCATAGACTGTTGAGTTTACTGTTGGGACCACGTAATAGGACCATTTTATTTGTCTTTAAAATTGTTGTAAATCTCTGTATGCACTTTGCTTTTTATTAAACGTAATCCAAGGTGGCCGTGACTCTTTCGTACACTAACACCAGCACGGACTGCTTTTCCATTGTGTTTGAAACGTGAGCCGAGTAGTCTCAGCCTGCTGTGAAGTTAACATTGCCAGGATGACTCTTCCACAGAATAATCTCAGTTTTTTCAGTATTTAGTAGTGATGATATTAATACATTAATGGTAATACATTTCTGGTTTAATGTGCATTGAGGATGTTTTCCAGTTGTGCATGAATGCTGGCAACTTAGTAAGTTTTGACAATTGTTTAAATATGTAATGTTAAGCTTAGGTTTAAAAAAGTTAAGCTGGTAAACTGGGTCTTTGTCATTTGCTTTTAAAAAAAAAAAAGAAAATAAATGCAAATGTGTTCGGTGCATTCTTTCCTGAGTGGGACCTGTCCTCCTGTGTGTGACTCCGTGCCTGGGCTCCTGGAGCCCTTCGTTCTGCTGCGTCTGGACTCTGAGGCTGACGCTGGACCTCATTGACATGTGTTCTTTGTTGGATTTGGAGAGTGTATGAAAATTCCCTGTTGATGTGGAATAATGATTAGCAATTTATTGAACATGTCTTCAGGGAGGGAAGAAACAGCTGTCCACCTTTCCATCTTTCAGAGTATGTTCTAGTTCTCCAGGCTGTGTTTAATGCCAGCTTATTTAAAGATAACGTGCCTGGGACAGTCATGTAATGATGCTGGCATGGGCAGACACACAGGTGTTTTCTTTTGTTTTTCTATCAGTGTGATCTGTCATGATGACCACTGATAACTGAATTCCAGCCAGAGGGATATTACACGAGAGCTAGATGGTCTTTTTACTACCCTACTCAAATTTGTTTTGAATCTAAACAGTGTGAAACTGCTAGAAGAAGCTATTTAAAGAAGCATTGCATACTTGAATGTAAGTATGGGAAGACAGCTGGACCTAGCAAGACATGGGAAGGGCGGCTGTGCGGCTCCGTCTTAGCACACGGGGCCGGCTAGGAGCCAGGTGTGGGCAGTCACGCTGGAAGGCCACGCTGCCGACGGCCTGACCCGGGGGGGCGATGGCCTGGCCCTGGGGGGCGTGCTGCGTCTGTGCTCTCAGCCTGGCTGGCCTCAGTCACTCGGGGAGAGGGTCCCAGGACTTGAAATTGGTGTCTGACGGGTGGGATGAACTGCTGGGGAGAACAGGTTCAAGGCCGCCCTGGGACACCAGGTCAGTGAGGAGGAGTCTGGTGCACCCCTCAGCGGCCTGTGTGCCTGAGAGTGCATCGCTGGGCATGGCGTCCGCCCTCGGCACGTCCTGGGCTGGCCGAGCGCGGGAGAAGAGGGCCGTCTTCCAGCGATGGTGTTCTGGGGGCGCCACCGTCCCCGCTTGGGGAGTCGCCGGTGTTGGCACGACTGTGGATGGGCCTATCAGTGACGCAGGCGGAGAGCTCGGCCTTCTTCCTGGAGCCCTGGGATGCGGTCAGGTTGGCGCCTGCAGCCTCGGGTCCCTGTGCCAGGCGGCGGCTATGCACGGGCAGGCTGCTGGGCGTGGCACCGCCAGCGTCCCCGGGCCCGGCCCTGCGAGCAGCGGCGTCTCACTGTCCTCACGGGTCTGCGCTGTTAGTCCGTGTACTGACCAGGTAAAAGTCTTCCTGGAGCCCGGGGGTCTTTGCAGGAGGAGACTGAGCCCCTCTTCCCCCAAGACTGCTGGGGGCCATGCTCCAGTCTGTCTGGTCACCCGTGTGCTCTGTCCACGTTCAGGGCGTCCTCTACCGTCAGGATGGAAGCCTTCGTTTAGTCCTTGGAGTCCAGTCTCAACGGGACAGTGGTGCCGTAGTTCTCACGCTCACGCTGTTTCTCCTTTCTCGTCTTGGCCCCTCTGCCGGCCGGGGTAGTTCAGTGATGGCTGGTGCCTCCTTCCTGTTTTTTCTGGGCTTCAAAGTTTTCGGGTTTGCGTTCTGAAGCCCAGTCCGGGTTTCTTTGTGATACAGACGATCCTGGTGCTCACGCTGCTCCCCTTTCTTCCTCCCAATGGTCCATGCAGGGCACGTTGTGGAGGCTTGCCGTGAGAGCTGTAGAGTCCCAGCATCTAGCCCCGGGACCCCGTGTCCCTGGTCTGCCGGGGTCTCGGCCACCGTTCTGTGGGACGGCATTGTTCAGTGGGACGGCATCGTTCAGTTGGTTTTCACTTCATCGTCTGCTAAAGCCTCACCCTGCCTGTCTGGTCACCCACCAGCTGTCCTCGGCCTCTGCAGGGACGGTTTCATGTAACCAGAATCCAGCAGAGAATCCAGCAGTAGTTTTGTGATCAGTTGCTTCTGGTCTTCTCAGTGATTCGTCGTCAGGAAGTTCACAGACAAGACAGAGGTGATCTCTACGGTTTCAGGGGGCTTTCGAGCAGGATTGTTGAATGAATTTGCTCCCTTGCTGCTGTGTGCTTTGGTTGGGGTGCACTGCATGTATGTGACCAGTGGCCTTTTAGTTTAAACCCCGGATCCTGCCCCCCTTGAGTGATTCCTGAGGTAGTTGCTGCTTTCAGAGTGGGTGGTTAGTGACACAGGTGTGAAGGCGTTGACGTGAATTATCAGTTTCTTCCTCTGTCATCCTTGGCTGCATCCTTTAAGTCTGAGGCTTCTGCTTCTAGAACTGGTCATGTGGTGACTTTCCATCCTTGTTTCGCACCTTTGAATCTGCTAGACCTTGCGGTCATAATGAATTGGGTTAGCTAGATGGAGATTTAGTACCGTGTGTGACCAGCAATTAAAATGTGGTAAGACTTTTTTTTTTTGGTACTAGTCATACTGTCTTGCTACTTACCAAGGTCACAGGAAGGGAGGTCACAGTAGCTCTTTCTCTGTGATCAGGGATCTCTGCATCACGGTGATGAGGGGGGTGCGGGATTAGGCCTCGCTGGGACTCTGCAGAGTCGTCCTGTCNTAGTCATACTGTCTTGCTACTTACCAAGGTCACAGGAAGGGAGGTCACAGTAGCTCTTTCTCTGTGATCAGGGATCTCTGCATCACGGTGATGAGGGGGGTGCGGGATTAGGCCTCGCTGGGACTCTGCAGAGTCGTCCTGTCTGTGAGCAGGGGGACTGGCCTCAGAAGGCCCGTTGCTTGCTCTCTGCTCACGCTCCGTCCACCCGTCTCACCAGACTGCCCCCCCCGGGCCTTGACTGAAGTTTGCAGTGGGCGAGGTGTGTGCCTCGTGGAAACCATGGCTGGACGTCTTCCCCTTTCCCTCTGACGCAGTGCTAGGAGAACAGAGTCGCCTCTGCATCCCAGCCGCTGTGGGAGGACAGAACCCACGAGGACGGGCCGTCTGTTCCTGCTCTGCCCCCCTGCAGGGCTCACTCCAGCAGCCCCTCCAGAGCTGCCCTGTGAGCTGGGCGCCTTGTCCCCCAGGCCTGCTGCCCGCCGTGACCACCGTGTCCGGCACGGGAGGCCGCGGGGCCCCTCCCGGTGTGCTGTTCTAGTTCTTTGGACACTGCATCGTGGATGCCGGTGGCGGGGTCTCACAGCGGATACCGCAGTGAGGTTATGGTCCTCATGGGGGACCCATGAGCGAGGGGTGAGCCCAGGGTTGCAGGCCCTTGGATCCAGGGGTGCTGGAGCGGATTGCAGAGGCCAAGCTGCCTCCTGGGGGTGTGGGGCGCCCTGCCCCCACGGAGCCCCCCACAGGCGGGCGGTCAGCAGTGGGCACCCACCGTCCGGGCAGGGCGGGACGCCTGGGAGAGCCCCCGGGCGGCCTCCCTCAGTGGAGGGTGGTCAGCCCTCGGCCTTTTGGGGCCACCCTTGTCCCCTAACCACCCTTCCACGCCAGAGCACGTGGTCTTGAGAGACGTCTTAGGTAGGCTTCTCCTTTTTTTTTTTCCCCCAATAATTGAGGTATATTGGTGGTTTTGAGGATCAGTACACAGGAGACGTTTTAGTTTGCACACGGTTGTTACTATGTATCCGAAGTCTAAAAAGTCGTGTACCTGTGATTCTTTTTTAAGCAGTAATTGCAAGCGACTTTCCAGCTTAAAATTGGGAGTCATCATTTCCTTAAAAGGATGTCAAGTACCAGCACCTTGAGAAGTGGCCAGGCTGTTACGGCCTGAGTCCAGCGGCTGCCCAGTTTGCTTTCACATTCCCCTCTTGCCGGGTGCTCAGCCCAGCCGCTCCTGAGGGCAGATGCGGGTTCCCCAAGGCCTCCTTGAGAGCAGAGAGGGGGCCTGGACGGGGGCCGGGGGCCCTTGGGCGGCCCCAGTGTCCATCGGGAGCGGCTGGGCCCTGCCTTCCTGGTGGCCGTCCCACGGGCCTTCTCCAGCCATCCACCCCTGGTGTGTGAGCGGTGGGCCTGTGTCTGGAGCAGCCCGCAGCTCACCGACGCCCCTTATGATGAGCCTCGCAGGCTGTCGGGAGAGGGGGCGCCCATGGGGGGCTGCCTCAGGGCAGGTGAGGGGCACAGGGTCACTGCTGGGGCGGCCGGCCCCCTGGGCGTCAGCGGCATGGGTGCCCTGCAGGGCGTGGGTTCTGGCGGCCGCCTCTTGCCGGGACAGGAGGCCTTTGCCTTGGGCTCCGCACCCAGCCGCGTCCCTCCCGCCCCACGCGGGCGCCCTCCTGACTCCTGCCTGCCGCCGCCTGCCCCCTCGGCCCGCCTGTGGTTGAGGCCTGTACTGTGTGCCCCTCCATTAGGGAGCCCAGAGCTGGGCGGGGGGAGAGGTGGTCCCTCCAAAACCCGCCTCTGCCTGCCTTCTCGGGGGGCTGGGAGCGGCCGAGTGTGGCTGACCTGGGCTCGAGTCTGAGGAGCGGCAGGGAAGGCTCCTGTGGAGTCTGGGGCCTGGCTGCTGGCATCCTGGCACGCGGGGTCCGGGTTCCTGTTGCTTCTGGGACGGCCGTGGCCCCGCAGGTGTGGCCGGGGCAGCCGTCGAGCCGTGGTCTGCTGGTGGCTGTGGGTGCCCTTTGCGGCCCCTGCGCCAGCGCTTGTGCCGCGGGTGAAGCGTGCACGTTCACTTGTTCTGACTGTCCGGGTGTCTGCATGGGGTGCTGTTCCCGTAGGCGTGGTCCTGCTGAACTCGCTGCCTGGACAGTGTGGAATAATCGGGTGCGGAAGCGTGTGCCTTGAAAGCTGGTAGTCATTAGTTACCTCCCCCAGGGAGCAGAGCAGATCCTCCTGTGCCTTTCGTGGTTCTTAGATGACGTGGAGCCTCTGCTGGAGGGGGAGCGTCAGGCGTCCCGGTTTTCCTGCAGTCGTCCCCAGATTTCACAGGCGTCTTGTTCCACCGTCGTCTGCTGTTTGCTTGCCCTGATAAAGTGATTTCCCTTTTCAGTTGTCACATGTTCATTTGACTTAGAACTGTGTTGTGTTTGGGGGTAGCCTTTGGTTGAATGGCGTACATGTTGCGCATCTGAACGTTTTTTATTTTT